CTAAACATTCTTTATTCCGACACACTTCACAGTTCAAGTACATGGATCCTAAACATTCTTTATTCTGACACACTTCACAGTTCAAGTACATGGATCCTAAACATCCTTTATTCTGACATTCTTCATAGTTCAAGTACATAGATCCTAAACATCCTTTATTCCTACACACTTCACAGTTCAAATACCTGGATCCTAAACATTCTTTATTCTGACATACTTCATAGTTCAAGTACATAGATCCTAAACATTCTTTATTCTGACATACTCCATAGTTCAAGTACATAGATCCTAAACATTCTTTATTCTGACATACTTCATAGTTCAAGTACATAGATCCTAAACATTCTTTATTCTGACACACTTCACAGTTCAAGTACATAGATCCTAAACATTCTTTATTCTGACATACTCCATAGTTCAAGTACATAGATCCTAAACATTCTTTATTCTGACACACTTCACAGTTCAAGTACATGGATCCTAAACATCCTTTATTCTGACATACTTCACAGTTTAAGTACATAGATCCTAAACATCCTTTATTCTGACACACTTCACAGTTCAAATACCGAAAGTATGATTTGGGGGTACTTCTGCTGCCACTCAAGTTGCCACTGTAGAAACAACTGCTGCTGTTGAAGTAACAATTCATAGGAATTTTCAGAAGTTGCTGAAGAAGGCGATGTTGATTTCTGGGCACTTGGCGGACCCTAAAAGTTTAGGGATAGTTTTGACTTCAGTTCCTTTTTTTTTTTCTATTCTTTGATAATAATTTGATTTTACTGAGATCTGTAGAATTAAAAGTCAAAACACTGAAGTTATATTAATAATAAAATGTTTAAAAAAGTCATATAAAACATCTGTAAGATTACTCTTCACATTAAGTTTTGGGTATTCAGTTTGTAAATTTGTTTTCTTTTTCATTTTTTCCCACCTCAAAATACTAAGACATCACATTTAGTAATTCATATAAATCTGTATCATTTCTTACCTTGTATTCATGAAATTTAATGGTCTTAGTTTTGGACTGAGATTTAGACTTGGACTTCTTTCGACTCTTACTGGAGCTACTGTTGGACTCCTGGGTTCGACCCTCCTCCTGATGCCGAGCAGAAGGAAAGCTTGTTTGTGAGGGAGACCGAATCTGGCTAACTGGTGGACTGAATTTCTGATCAGCAATGGAAAAAACTGTTCGAGTGGGTGACTGAATATGGCTAATGGGAAGGTTGAAAGTTTGAGACCAGGCAGGTGAAACAGCTGAGCTAGAGGAAGAAGAGAGGGAAGTCAGTTGAGTGTCATCCTTGGAATCTTTAAATTCTACATTGGCAAGAGGTGAAGACTGACTTGTTTCTAAAGGTGTGAAACTGTAAATAAATAAATAAAAGACTTATTAATTCATATTTCAATATCAGAATAAAGGATGTTTAAGATCTATGTACTTGAACTGTGAAGTATGTTGGAATAAAGAATGTTTAGGATCCATGTACTTGAACTATGAAGTATGTCAGAATAAAGAATGTTTAGGATCCATTCTCCCCA